CCCTGTACACATAGCTAACACATCACTATCCCAATAGCCCTGTGCACATAGCGGGCACATAACTATCCCAATAGCCTTGTACACATAGTGGACACATCACAATCCCAAAAGCCCTGTACACATAGCTAACACATCACTATCCCAATAGCCCTGTACACATAGTGGACACATCACAATCCCAATAGCCCTGTACACATAGCTAACACATCACCATCCCAATAGCCCTGTACACATAGCGGGCACATCACTATCCCAATAGCCCTGTACACATAGCTAACACATCACTATCCCAATAGCCCTGTGCACATAGCGGACACATCACTATCCCAATAGCCCTGTGCACATAGCGGGCACATCACTATCCCAATAGCCCTGTACACATAGCTAACACATCACTATCCCAATAGCCCTGTGCACATAGCGGGCACATAACTATCCCAATAGCCTTGTACACATAGTGGACACATCACAATCCCAAAAGCCCTGTACACATAGCTAACACATCACTATCCCAATAGCCCTGTACACATAGCTAACACATCACTATCCCAATAGCCCTGTGCACATAGCGGGCACATAACTATCCCAATAGCCCTGTGCACATAGTGGATACATCACAATCCCAATAGTCCTGTACACATAGCTAACACATCACTATCCCAATAGCCCTGTACACATAGTGGACACATCACAATCCCAATAGCCCTGTACACATAGCGGACACATCACTATCCCAATAGCCCTGTACACATAGCAAACACATCACTATCCCAATACCCCTGTACACATAGCTAACACATCACTATCCCAATAGCCCTGTACACATAGCGGACACATCACAATCCCAATAGCCCTGTACACATAGCAAACACATCACCATCCCAATAGCCCTGTACACATACCTAAAACATCACTATCCCAATAGCTCTGTAAACATAGCGGACACATCACTATCCCAATAGCCCTGTACACATAGCTAACACATCACAATCCCAATAGCCCTGTACACATAGCTAAAACATCACTATCCCAATAGCCCTGTACACAGAGCGAACACATCACAATCCCAATAGCCCTGTACACATAGCTAACACATCACAATCCCAATAGCCCTGTACACATAGCTAACACATCACAATCCCAATAGCCCTGTACACATAGCGGACACATCACAATCCCAATAGCCCTGTACACATAGCAAACACATCACTATCCCAATAGCTCTGTAAACATAGCGGACACATCACCATCCCAATAGCCCTGTACACATAGCTAACACATCACTATCCCAATAGCCCTGTACACATAGCTAACACATCACAATCCCAATAGCCCTGTACACATAGCGGACACATCACTATCCCAATACCCCTGTACACATAGCTAACACATCACTATCCCAATAGCTCTGTAAACATAGCGGACACATCACAATCCCAATAGCCCAGTACACATAGCGGACACATCACTATCCCAATAGCCCTGTACACATAGCAAACACATCACCATCCCAATAGCCCTGTACACATAGCT